GGTCTCTGCAGGATGATAAACTTTGAAACTCATTTTTACTACCAGAGACACTTACAAAATCCCCTAAAACAATCTCTAATAGACAAGGAGTCAAACGACTGAACACGTGAAACGCAGGTTTCCTCATTCTCCCTTACCACCATGTGTAGAGAGAGGAACGCAGCATTTTGCCATGAATAAAGGGCACAGTTTTTAGACCCTGCAGTTTCAAGAAGGCTGTGTGATATTACATCACTTTAAAGTAAATTTGCTTCTGATTCTGTACACATATCTTTGAAAGAGGTCCCACATCCCCTAAGTGTGAGCGTTAGCCCCGTGTTTTCAAATAAGAAAACCTTTAGTTAGAGACTGGTATGAGCAAGTGGTGTCTTTGTGTATGAGCACTTCCTGTTTTCATTCCGTGATCAAATATATTCTTTGCAGCACAACTAGAAAGCTCTCGAACCAGGCAAGTGGAGGTGCCTGAGAGCCTAATTGAGCACACTAAGGGCTTCTTGGCGTGGAAGAGTGTTTCATGGTTATGAATAAACCGTTAGGCCTGGTATTATTTCTTGCTGTTTTCTTTCTTTAACTATCTTTGAAGTCAAATAAAAACAGTTGTAATGGCAGGCTTACTTTTATGATACTATAATCTCCATGTGTTAGTGAAAGGAATATACTTCCCTAGGATTTCCCTAAGTTCTTTTGCCATTGGGTACTTTCCAGCAAAAGCACATACATTTCCAACAGATTCTTTCTTCAATCTTCACTAGATTTCATAGTCTGAGAAGCCAAACAGAGCCATCAACCAATAGAGGAGGGGGTAATAGTATATACGACATTTTTAGCAGGTGAATTGCTATATATATATATATATATATATATATATATATATTGCATTATATATGTATAAATACACATATATATGAGCTTACTTTTTAAGATTATTATGGGTGTTTTAAAGGGGATTTTTAAACATTTTGGAAATTGGTAGTTAGAAACCAGAAATTAATTACTTAGACTCAGATTAAATTTAAATTCAAAGTGCTTAACTCTGAATATGGAAATTGCTCAATTCATCAAATAGTTTGTTTCTTGTTTTAATGCCACTTTGGATTTAAATATTTCCTTCAATATAATCGATGAGCTGCAAGTTTATTACCTTTTCCCCTAAAGTCAGTGGTGCACAGGGATTTGAGATTGTTTTAACTGTTACAGTTGTAGTGGAACTTGTTCTTCCAAGAAAACTGAAGGTTAATGATTTTTGTCATATTGAGACTAAGACTTAACAATTGCTACAGTTGGCCTTTGTTGAGGTGGGGTTCTTTTTTCTCTAGGCCTTTTGAGGTATTCAGAATAGGTGACAATAGCATGCAGTTGAGAACATATGTAGAGAGACCCCTGTGGCTTATTGGAAAAAGTTGCTCCATGCTGGTTGGGTGTTTGGAAAAAAAAATACAACGAGAGTTCTTTTATGTTCTGCTAGTTAATGAATGCATGAATGTCAAAATGGGCCAATGGCCCATTCAGGGGGCAAAGCCTTAGCAGCCCCCTTCTTTAAGAACACATCCTGAGATGCAAAATACATTTGCTTAACAAATTAAAATAATGAGATAATTCAATTAGCTTCTTTTTAAAAAAAGAAAGAAAAAAGGGTACATCGGGGATTATTGTAATACAAGAACAGGTCATACTGCACAAAAGAGAACAAACCAGTTTGAAATAATGTTAAAGAGACTAATAATGGAGGAATGCACACTGAATCATGCACTTGCGAAGAAATTTACATGAAATAATAATTTAGGCTACATCTATTTTCAGTGAGCTAGAGCCAACATTTCACTTTGAAAGTTGAAATTAATTAAATGACAGAAAAATATAGTGGGCATCTCTATTTCCAAGGACTTCCTCATGCCTGTTAGTGCATGTAAGAAAGGAAGTCTAAATTAACATGTCGCTAGTTAGGGGTCTCTATTCTTGGTTTCTGAGCTCGGAATTATAGCTGAGTAAATCTTTCAGCTCATTAAAGATTGGAAAGTAAAAGTTTTACAGGACCATCCTCACCAAAGTTACGGAACCTCTTCTCTGTGGCTGGGGTAAAATCTGGATGAAGGGGGAGATTTTTGTTCAAAGAGAAAGCTAAGGAGAATTTCCTCATGATACAAGGGAGGTGCGGTAAAGGCAAGGGGGTGGGAGCAGAGAGAAAGACTGGGAGACAAAGCCAGTGGGAGAAACTAATGAAAGGGGCATGTTGTGAAAGAAGGTCATGGGGAGGAGGGCAGAGAGTAAAAAGAAAGGGGATGACCAGAGATTGGGGCAGCATAGCGCTCCGGCTACGTGCTCCAAGTTGAACCAAGAGCTGCAGGTGCAGGAAAGGAGCCCGCAGTGTGGAGATCCTGCACTGTGTCCCCCTCATTTGAAAAATGGGAACATGAAAGGTCCAGAGAACTTAACGGACTCACTGAGGTTCCGCCAGCACAGAGGAGAGCTGAACTCAAAACACGGGTTTCCCGTCTGCTTGGCTGAGGCTATTTGACTCTTCTCTCGCCACTCCAAGGACAGACACCCATTAAAATTTTCAGTCGGCTGGAGAATTCTGCACAAAGTCTAGGGTTCCTTTAACTAGATGAAAGCACTCTCGGGGCGGGGACAAGGTCTGGTGGTGGGTTTGTAGCCCCCTGCACAGAAAAGCCACCGGGAGTGCCCAGCAGTCACTGGCCACCCACAAGTTTTCACCAGCGGCCACGCCGCACGGTGGGTTCGGTTCAGGACAGGGAGGTGGGGGACAGGACAAGGCAGGAGGTCCAGCAAGAGCTCTGGACACTTAGCGGCGGAGATTCAAGGCACAGAACACAGGTGGTGAAGGAGACAGTGGGCATGAAGAGGAAGTCTTCTCTAATCAGAATGGTTGGGGGAGCAGGAAGCTTTAGAAACAAAGAGAACAGCACTTTGCTTCTCCATATTTCCTCCCCCTCTGACGCTGCGTGTACTGATGGCAGAGGCTGTGTGAGATTTATATGCCACTGGTAGAAGGGATAATGATTTTAGCAAAGTCCTCGTAACGCCATGGAAAAAGCACAGCTCGGGGGACATGGAAGGTTGGGTCATGGTCTCAGGCTGACCTTGAGGTAATCACTTCCCTTTCTCGGCCTCAGTTTCCTCATTGGTAAACAGAGCAGCTGGATTCTCATAGGTTCTGCTGTTCTGTGGTGCTGACGGACTACTGAGGGGCTGCAAATAACACGGAGAGGTTTGCTTGCAAAGCAACTGTTGAAATCTTTTTTTTCTGGCCAGGAGGGATTGAGCACGAAGGAAGACGGAGGGAGGAAACCAAACAGGTAAGCTCGTGGGGGGCAAGCCGCCTGCCTGCCATCCATGCGCCCCTGCCCTGCCTTTCTAACTTGCTACTCTAACCAAACAACCCTTCAGTTAAAAATGAGAAACCCCTCCCCTCACACTCACTCGACTTCCAAATTAAAAACATTTTACAGGTTAGTAAATCTCCAGCTGAGGTGATGTAGCAAAGAACAGCTGTGAAGTAATTTTGATAATGATGAGAATAATAGCCACATGGCAAGGTTCAGGGCTTTGCTGTTGCAGCTTCAGTGCTCCTGAATAGATAAAAGTGATTAAATACTCCTGATTATCCCTGACCAATATGTAATGGATTTACAGCCCTTTCAATTAGTCAGTATTTGCTTAGGACTCATTATTTTGTCTTTGGTTAAGTAATCAGCCCAGAGACTGCATGTTCTGTCTAATTCCTCTGAGCCGAGGCAGTGCAGGGCCCTGACCTTTGAAATGGCCGTGGCTGCAAGGCAAGAATAACCACTACCACGGCAGCCTCATTGGTTCTTCCCGCTAATCCTGACACCACGGGCCAGATCGATACACCTTAGTTTGCTACTAATGTCCTTACATCAAAATGGCCGATTTAGGAATGTGAATTTATCACTCCGCCCTCCCCGCCGCCACTCCACCCCTTGCCCTTTGTGGCCCAGCTGGAAGAGCAGATCAGCAGCCACCACCATAAATAAAAGTGGAACCTTGTCCTGGACCCATGACACTGTAACTAATGTCATTCAGCATGGCAACACACAAGTTGGAGAATCAAAGAAGACCTTCAGCTTTCAATGTGCTACTCTATTTTTAAGCATTAGCCTAAATAGAATGGCCTGAAAACAATATCATAGCAAGACACCGCCTGTGACATCTTTACCGCTTTCCCAGAATTTTCAAGTAAACAGTAAAACAGGAGTGCCTAGGTCCCCTGTAAAAATATATTGTGATTTTTTTTTTCCCCACGAGAGTCTTAGAGTCAACAGTGTGCAGGGACACGTAAAACCCACTGCAGACAGGAGGGCAGAGATAAACTGTGACTTGAGAAATGTTGCAGAGTGGATGTATTCCCAGAAGTGAATTGGGTTAGTTTGTAAGAAAAGGGACTTGGAGAGCTAAAAATGAATCTCCATTCTCCACCTTACAAACAAAGGCACCAAAGGCACTAGAGCACCTACAACCCTTCTGTGTTTGTCACATAAACACGTGCCATGTTTGCAAGCTGCTCCAGCGATTACACTTGCACCTGATACCGAGAGCTTGGACATGCATGTGGCAAGGTGCTTTTTTTTTTTTTGCTTCCTAGAGGAGATGGCTTTCATTAAGACTGTAATCAGTGGCGTGTATGGGTTCGTGAGCTGCTTACAGCCATTTCCTTTGGCTGCAGTTGCCTTATATGAACCTCATACCTTGTAGCATAAATAACACATTTACCACATATACTGTTTAGGGCCCCAGACCAAATTGAGTAAGGTCCGCTCCTGGCCTCGGACAACCAAAATCTCCTCCTTTCTGGAGGCTGTTCTTTGGATACTGAAAGCTGACAAAGTCTTAACTGCTCTGCTGGTCATCAGATTTCAAGAAAGGGAAAACGCACCTTATTTCTAAAAAAGAGTCTGTATCAACCTGTAAAATTCGGTAGGAGAAGGCAAAACAAGCGACATGCTTTCATCTTGACTTACTGTGAGATGCTGGAACAGCCACGCTCTCATGATATTTGTTGCTACTTTGGGGAAAATGCCTCTTTTCTTCTGGCGTTTTTTGTCCTTGTCTGGGTCGTCGTCGTCACCTGTGCCAGGTGAGGCCACGCTGTTGTCTAAACCATCCCCTGGTAGGAAAAAAAAAAAGAGAGAGACAGAGAGAGGAAGAAAATACGTTAGAGGCAACACAGAAAGGGCGCCAACAACAACGTGCAGCTGATGATGAGCTCAGCTCAGCTTGTTGAAAGAAATCCATTAAGCGGGTATATTCCCTTTCATTAAAGTATAATTGGAGACACAAATATGTAAAAGACAAAATTAAACCAGGCCTCTTCAAATGTTAATTTTGTGTGTCTCACACTCGCCCATATCATTAATTCAATTATAATTGTGCGCCTGACACAGGGCAGTAGCTCTTTGTCAATTATGGAATCCAATGTGGGAAAGCCGCCATCAGAAAACCCATTCGGTGAAAACGCATCCCCATGCCCATAGTGAACACATACTGTAGGGCAATCAAGTTAAATGTTCTGTAGTCTATATATTCTAGGCTGCCTGCATAGGTGACAGTAACTGTGTCACTGTTCATTGCACATAACACACTGCCTGCTCAGCCCCTCCTAGAACTGTCACCTCCTAAGCACGCACATTCACATACTCCTCAGATGACCCTGCGCTCGGCATTTGCATGACATGAAAACTTTTAGCTCTCTGCACCACTGATCATGGTCATTATCATTAAAAAAAAAAAAAAAAGGATACACATGAAGGTAGGGTGCTCACTTAATCAGAAGTTTCTACCAACATCTTTCTCTTCTATGCTTTTCTCCGCATTAATTGTGCATTAGCAAAAATCATTTACTTTTAACAGTCATAGTTATTTTTTCTTGCCCTCCAGCAAAAATGCCTTGAAAGCCTGCCTGGAGGGCATCTAAATTATGTATCTGAAAAACTCTTCTGGCAAGGCATTGCAGGACCCCTACTTTCTTAAAATTCATACGAGCACGTCTTCCTGTTTTTGGGAAGGCATCAATCAAGAGCAGCAATATATGCCATATCCCTACATTAATATTTGAACTAATAACTTTAAAAAAAGGAGAGAAACAAGATCCGACTTGTGGCATAATCAAATGCAAAATAAATGAAGAATACGGGGACAGCGCTGGGGCTTTATAGATGGCTGTGTTTTCCTTGCACATCATTAGCCTGGAGCCACACGAAAGAGGAAAACAGAGAAGTGGAGAGTTTATGCTCCCTGCTGGTGTTTAAGAAGCTGGGGTCCTGGAAGGACATCTGGGAATTGCACTGAGATGGGGGTTTTTGTAATTTAAGAATAGACATTCATTAGCAGTAAATGCCATAAATCCCATGCTAAGTAAAAACCTTGTCCAAGAAAGCCTAAAACAATAAACTCTGTGCTCAATGTAGCCTGAGCTAGACGCTCTGCAGCTTCCCAGGGAATGTTATAGATCCACCAGCTCATTCCCAGACCCCTTCCTTCCTCTTGGACTGGGCTACACTAACGCCTCCTAGCCATCGGGCCCCTCCCCTTCTAACTTCTGGGTCTGCTCCATGGGCTTTCCTGTACCTGTCCTCTTCCTTTCTCTCCAAAAAAAAAAAAAAAAGGCAAAAACAAAAAAACTCTTCAACCTTCTTTGACCAGAAAAGCAGAAAAGCCACAGCAAAGAGCTGGCAGATTAATTTTATTGACATTTCCATTTTCACTGCAATGTGATACCCTCCATCACATGGAAGAGATGACCCTCACTATTTACAGACTGACAGGCCACTTCATTACAACCACCCTGCCCCAAGGCAAAGCAGCTCCCTTCCATCTGCCCAAACACTAGAGCATGACCCCGAAGTTGCTGTTCTCTTTTTCTTTACCGTCTGTTATGATAAAAAAAAAAAAAAAAAGAGTGAGGCAAAGGGACCCCAAGTAGTCAAAGAACTAATCAGAGTACAGAGAAACAAAAGACATTTGACTTTTGAATAGTGACTATATGGAATCTAGTCCTCACCTGCATCTGGCTTTATCCGTACACCCTGGTAAACTCAGGGTCGCTTGCACAAGGAGGCGCGCACACACACACACACACACACACACACACACACACACAAGCTCGAGCAGAGACACGCGTACACGCTTTCCACCATGCCAAGGAACTGCTGCAAGGCAAATTCTCACCCACACTAATGGCTTCTGACTGCTCCTTGGCAACCCTAGCATTTTAACCTGGGTAGATGTGCTCTCCAAAATACAGACGCTGGAGCGATCTCATCAGCTGTTCATGTGACACAGATGGAGAGTGGCTATTAGGAGCCAGGCAGTGGGCCTTGGGGATCTGAGGTGCTGTTCTGTAGCCCGAGGCAATTTTGAAAAGCAGTACCCGGAGATGAGGAAAAAAAACCCCACACTGCAAGTCCAAGTTTGAAGTCAGTCAGTCTGTCTGTCTACCTACCATGGATAAAGATATCTTTGTCTCTTAATGTAAAAATCTATGTGGGCTATCTGGATGTACACTGCGGATAATGTATGTATGGAATGGCTCTTCCTTCAATGTCTTCCAAATATAAAAACACACACTGTAAACAATGCCTGTGTGTATATATTTCTTCCTAAGCACATATGGTTTCTGTGTATATGTTTAAACTGAAATTGTCAGGATTTTGTTAAAATCTCATTTAGCTTTTTTTTGATAGATTTTTGAATATACTTGTTTTAAAAGGTTAATGGCTTAATTGAAGGAAGTTCAACAAAAAAAAAATAAAAGGAAAGAAAGAAAGACATTTGCCTTTTTAACCCAATCAATGACCTTAAAAATGAGAGACAGAATTTCCATAGTGCATTTTCTCTTCGTTAAAAGCAAAGAGGCCTGGTAACACCTTCAAACTATTTAGCTCAAGAAAAAAAAATATAGCTAGATTGAGCATCCTTTGATGACTAACTGAAACTGGAGAAGGCAGGAGCATCACATGAATTTTAATATAAAGCAGTCCATTTTATGTAAGTTTTGTAAAATATTTCAATTTGGATCCAGTGTAACAAATAATAGTAAAGAAAAATGTGCCTGTTTTTACGATAAGTAGGTACTAGACATTAGATTTTTAAATTAGTATCAGTGTTGGCGGCACCTGGGTGGCTCAGTTGGTTAAGTGTATGACTTTGGCTCAGGTCATGAGGTCATGATCTTGTGGTCTGTGGGTTCAAGTACCCTTTTGGGCTCTGTGCTGACAGCGGAAGCCTAGAGCCTGCTTCGGATTCTGTGTCTCCCTCTCTCTCTGCCCCTCCCCTGTTCACATTCCATCTCTCTCTCTCTCTCAAATATTAAAAAAATAAAATTAATTAATATTAGTGTCTATGCTTCCTTAAAAAGAAATTTCCTCTCCAAGTATCATAGTAAATACCATTGTTTTTTCCTCCAATGGACTGTGCACCAACTCCAGTGTGGAGGAAAAATAAGAGCACAAAGAAACGTTTTAAAGGGAAACTGTGTGGTCTTCAACCTCAAATAAAATTGTGCAGATGATGCCCGAGTTAGTAACTCTTAAAGTCGACATTGTTTTCTTGTTTTAAGTCTGTGTGTGTGTAAGATAGTTGGCAATCCTTGGCACCCATGCCAAATGAGTGTCTGTGCCGAAAAGGGTATACACACCGGCACAGACACACTTGCCAAAGGAGGTACACAAGGTAATAGGATCCCTCTCAGCTGAAGTTAAGGTTCAAAAGTGTGGAATCCTGAAGGCAGGACCTGTGTTTCGTTTATCTTTTCCTGAGAGCTCACCTCTGTGTCTGACCCGGAGCAGACACCCAGTGATTGTCCGCTGGGTGAGTGAAAAACTGAACTCATACAGGAGCTTCTTCAAGGACCCTTCTCTCTTTATGATAATCCCAAACTGGAGAAAGTGCACGCATTACAGTGCCTCAGGGGCTGGGGTGCCTGTGCGCACACAGCTACTTCTAACGTGCCAGGAATGGTGCTTCTTAAAAGAACTCTGTGTACATGTGGGACTTTCTAAGCGGCTGAAGCACTGGCCATCCCACTAGCATTGCCGCCTCGGATTACAAAAAGCCACAGGAAAAAAAAATAGGGTAACATTTCTTCCCAAAGGTTGCTAATCCCTTCTCTAAGGGCACAGTCTAAACTGGGAGCAAAGATACTCAAAAGAGTGGTACCTTCCTGGAACGAAATATTTAAGGCCCAGAAAGACATATTTAACGCCTGTAGATAGACAACTCTGAAGTGGATTCAATCATCAGGGGAGAATGTTAAAAACACAGGTCTCTAGGCCTCATCCTATATTTATGGAATCGAAATATCCCAGGGCAGGGAACAGGAATTTATACTTTTAACAAGCTCCTTGGGTTTGTTTATACAACCAGCCAAGCACTGGTTCTCAAACTGGCTCTTGGAAGCCACTGAACCAGATGCCCTTCTAATTTGAAAGAAGATGCAACCTCAAGGACAGGTAGGTTGTTACAAGTCTATTCTACTCCCATACATGAGGTCAATGGTCATGATGAGCAACTACAGAGCGCCCCAGGCCTTATTCACTATGGAAGAGCCACAATGTTCTCCATCACATATACTGGCCAACAGGATGTAGCCCCATCCTAACCTTCTGGTGATAAGGGATAAAAAGAAAGAAGCCGTAGAACACTGGCTCTCAAGATGTGGGCCAACAGCTTTGGCACAGATGAAGAAATGGTGAGAAATGCAAATTCCTGGACCCTCCTAGACCTACTGAATTTGAATCTCTGGGGTGGGGCCTAATAATCTGAATGTTACTAAGCATTCCAAGTGATTTTAATGACCACTCGAGTTTAAGAAGCACTGCTGTAGAGCACACTGCAGCCCTGCAATCTGCTACCCCTGACAGTTGTGGTCTGAAGGCCTGACTTGCATCTCTTCGTCTTCCTCCTGTTGTAAGACTCTGCGGTATTTTGAGAACATCTGTGGCTGGATTTACACCCAGGCTCTGGAGGAAATCACACATACTTTCCATAGCTGAGCATACTGTGCTCAGAGCAAGGCACTGCTCTAGAAAGCAGCCCCAATCCACACCTACCTAAAGACCAATACTGGGACGCCTGGGTGGCTCAGTTGGTTAAGCACCGACTTCGGCT